AGCCTTCAGGTGATGAGATGTGGCTGGCTTGCAGTTTTTCTGTCTGTAGTATGGAGCTGATACTCATTTTGTCAGTTGCCAAGCTAAAATTTTATTTCCACCATTTAAGTAGATAGAATTAATTTACCTCAACATATCTGCATCTGAAGCAGTGTAATGGGGCTCCTGTTGTAGGCAATGGAAACTTAGCAAGTAAAATCAACAGTGTCTGGAGACCGGGCTCTCTTATTCAGATAAATGCTAACCAGGTTAGGTGAATCAAATTTTTATTTCTTTGATTGAAAAGGAATTAAAGCATCTAACTTAGGTTTCAATAGGGGTATTTTACACATCAGCTTAGGTGAAGACTATCTAATTGATGTCTTGTGTCTTTCTTACTGGTGTAAGCACACAACAGCAAAAGACATGGACTGACTATTAGAGAAGGTTGTTGATTTTTATTCTTCATCTACCATAACTGGGACTAAAGAGGTCTTTTTTCCCTATGGGAGGTTTCTTGGAGACAGGAAGGACAATTGAAAGCAATGGGAAATATATAGAGTAGAAAGTAGTAAGCAAATTTATGTGCAGTTGAAGAGGATAATTTATCTAGACATATGGAGAGTACAAAAATTATATAATTATGCAGATCTGTTTGTTTTAGAGTGAAATTATAATGCTAAGTGCATTCAGCTTTTGGCAAATGAAAAAAAAAAAAAAAAAAGTCTGCAAACCTCCAAACACTTGTCTTTAACTAATGGCCAAACTAGATAATCTGTTCACACCGAGCTTAGATTTGGGTACAGTTCCCATTCAGATATAGGTTGCATCACCACCAAAATCAGAGGCCAGATATTCCCCCAGAAATGAATGGGGGTGATATTTGAATTTCCAGAGCAAAACTTACTTGTTGAATGATGAGTAAGATAATATACTATATAAATGAGTTATTTTAGCTCTAGCTGAGAATATAAGCTGCAGACCAAGCTCTTAGTTGAATAATCAAATTATTTATCCATCAATTGCTAGGTGCTAGTATGATGAAGGGCATATTGTAGCCTCATGCTTTTTGGCTTGTTTTGAGAATTCCATGTGGCAGGCTTTAACTTTCTTATTAAGTACTTGTCAGTGTGGCATAACTCATGAAATAAGAAGAAATGTGGTTTGGGATTTGATTGTGCCATTGCATTAACTATTTGAAGGCCCCACTGTGCCTTGTGATTAGTGCCAGACCAAAGAACTTCCAAATTAGATATTGAATAAAGGGGGTGAAAAAGTGAGGTGAGATGGAGTTTTTTATTTTCTAGAACAAGCTGTCAATTTTTGTTTGTTTTGTTTTTGTTAGGGTGATTATTTTTTCTGGCATCCATTAGGCAAGAGGTTGAAGTTTCACAATCTGAAGGAATGCATTGTGTCACCTTCAGAGAAGTAACAGACCTGATATGCCATGTGTGCCAGTGCTCTTGACACCTGGCATCTGGACATACAGTTCTGACAGTCCTGACATACAGGAAGATGTCGGGCATATTTCAGGCTAGGATATGTGCAAGAGCTGTCTGGTTAAACATAAGGAATGTTTAGAATGTGAAGGAGAGAGGGATGGGGGCAAATAAAGCAGAAGACAGCCTTAGTAGGTGTGTTTTGAACATCGGTTCAACTGGAACCAATGAGGTCCTGGTTCCAGTTTTCAAGACCAGGAAGTTGAGGTAGCCAGGAGACAAGAGACTGATGGGAACATAAAGGCTGCATTCATTGTAGTTAAATGTGAATAGATGTCTGCTTTGCTAATCCTGTAGGCTCCCTGTGAGGAGGAAGATGAGTGACATGAGGCAAGGAGCTCTAATTTTATTAGCTCTTTATGGAGGAAATGGGTATGTTTTCATCCAACTGAGATGAAGGTCTATTCAGGAACTGTTGCGGGGGAAAGTTTATTAGAAAGTTGCACAGTTAGGTGGTATGAAACAATGGTGAAAATATTGGATCCACATATAATATTCTATGTGAAATTCAGGTTCATTGCTCCATTTCAATCCAGCTGGCAGAAGCAAAACCAATTGCTTTTTCCCATGTCACTGTATTGTCTCTAGTGCTCTGTGGCCTTGACTAAAAAGCCCTTCACAGGGCAATTGGTTTGTGTCTGAAGCTTTGGGTGTGATAAATGTACTTCACCGAGTTGTCTTGGCAGCAATGAGATAGTCCAGAGGAGATATACTATGCTCTTCTGTAGGCTTCCCCTTCCCTTTCCAAGCTGACTAGATACTGAAAATTATGGAGAATGCAGTGGTCTGTCATTAGATCTGCTGAACAGGGCATCTCTGGGTATCTCTAACATTTGGCCTGAAGTCTGCTGTATAGGGTGCATATCTCTGATGTGAAGTGAAAAGGCATATAGGAATGGCCCATAAGAATTCTCACCCAGTTTGTTCTTATAACTGTTACCTAATCCTCCTCTTAGATTAAAAAAACCCACCAACCAACAAACCAAAAAAACCCCAAGCCTTGTTTTGTTGCAACAATAGACTTGAAACTCCAAATCTATATTTTCTTGTCTTGAATATCCTGAATTTAATTGCTGTGTCAGTCTGTTTGGCTCTCTCTAATTTACAGGACAATGTACTCTGTGATTTAAACTTTGTTTCACAAACTCATTAAGAACTACAACTAACATGAAAAAGAGGGGCTCAATCTCCTTTTGCCTAGGTCAGTCTATCATGTGAATTCATTTATGCACCATTCAAGACATAAAGTTGTTTCATAATTTATAACCTATAACTCTTGATTGGTACACCTCCAAGCAAAACAAAAAAAAATAAAACCTACCTGAGGCTTTTATTTTTTTAAATAAAACCTACCTGAGACTCATGGGACGAGTTTTCCCTTTGTCACACTAAGTAGCAGGAAGGCCGCAACAGTCCAGCTCCTGTTGGATTTGCTTCTAAAGCTTCTTGGGTAAGCTGATATTTTATACCTTCCAGCTTGGAGGTTTAACCTGTACCATGTTTTATAAGTGAGCAGATTACGGGGAAACTGCAACAGGAAAGATGGCAGGAGACAGAGATTTGCCAGTGATAATGGTGCATAATGCTCATAATGGCTCTTGAGCTCTTTCAGGCCACCTGTCTGCCTACTTGGTGCTCTTGCTTTGACTTACTGGCCCTGTGCCCAGCATCCATCAGGGCTCACCAGCAGGTCAGCCAAAATCTGAGCAGAAGCTGAGTAAACTGTCACACCGAACACACCAGAAGTATTTTAAAAAGTTCTTTTTTTCCTAGCAGTTCAAGGGTACATTCCCAGCTTAGAGGTTTGGATCAAGTTATAAACTGTGGTGGCTTTTAAGTAAAATTTTAATGGTGAAGCGTATGATAAATTATCCAGTTGGTTGGGCATCCAGACATATTCCAGGAGCAGTCCAATTTATTGCTGAAATATGAGGTTAAATCATTATCAGCTTTGACAACTTCACTGAGATGTAATAAAACATTATCCATCATCCAGAGTAGAACACTTGAAATCATTCTATTTAATATATTTTTAATAATGTAAGTGAAATATAAACGATTTATCTGCAGGGACTTGTTCTTAAACTTGGTGAAAGTGAGAAAACACATGGTTTTCGTAATATTTTATTCAAGTTATCATTTTGAAGCTGTAAATCCACAGAAAAAACTAGGGTGAATATTTTTTTTTATTGAATAGCACTCTTAAATTATTGAACTAAATATGACAGCTATTGAATGCATATTTTTAAGTATGTGGTGACTTTTCTTAAGACTAGATGATGTGTAACTAAACTATGTTGTGCAACTAGATGATGTGTTGTGATTTTCAAAAGAAAACAAAAGCACATGGCAATTTCTCTAGCACTTTTTCTCTAGTAGCCTAATAGCACCTGCAGGGTCATGTTTCCTTAGTCCTTTAACAGTTCTCATTGTACCAGTCTCTGCAGACAAATAAGCAATTGATACTGGGAGTCAATGAATTTCAGCTTCATCTGTCAATGTATAGGGAGTTAATGAAGCCTGGGAGGCTGTCTGAAACAGCAGGTTGCAATGTTGCTTCTTGGAGTGTTCTGCTTAGTTTAAAATATCCCTGAAACAGGGTGGTTCTTTGCTTATCTGAAGATTCAAGTATCAGAGTTCCCAGCTTGGCTCTGGCACAGTCTAAATATGTGAAGCTGTTCTTTGAGTTCCTGTGTCAGAAGCCCTCATCTTCAAAAGGGAGGAATTAAATCTTCCTTTCTTCAGCACTGCATATCTCCTACTGCCTGGGTCAGAAGCTTCTGTGTTTTTTTGTAATGTGAGACAAAGCAGGCTCTAGATTTTAATGGAAAATTGCATATTCTGTAGAAAATAATCTGTGTGTAGACAGACTTAATATGTTTTGGATGCCTCAGTTCTTATAAAGGCAACCATTTATACTTTTTTACTTTTTTCCTCTTATAAGAAAAATCACTAGTTACAGGTTTAGTGGTATCCAGTAAAGATCTTAAACAAATAGTTAGCCTCAATTTAAAAAACTAAAGCTTACATAGAGAAACTTTGAAATGCTGTAAGAATTTGAATTAACCTAATGCTACTATTTAAGATGTCTTGTGTGGGTTTCTTTCCACTTGTTGCCTGATTCTTGGTAATGTACCTAAATCCTTTGGAATTTTATGAACTTGACTCTTATTCTCCTGTCCCTCCAAAGGTCTGGGAGTTACAATATATATTCATTATAATGCATGGGAAACTGGCTTCACTCAAACTTGATTTTGGTTCAAATTATGATTAGAATTTCCCTTCATTTGATACTGTGTTGACTGCACATACCTTCGTTTGATATTGTGTAGTCAACATGATATGAAATGAAAGGAAATTAAAGTACAGCAGTTCTTATTCATTGTACTGTCTGTGCATGCACACTATATGCAAAAACATTTCTAGTGTTTGAGGCTGGAATGTATGTTTCTCTTCCCATTTCTAGGAAGCGAATTGCTATTAACCATTTGTTGAGTAAACACTGACATCTCTTTATCCTAGGAGCCATCATTTGAGATGCTTCCGTTGTCTGGGAAAACAATAATATTTGATAGCTTTCCTGATCCTTCAGATACCTGGGAAATAATTGAGACTATTGGCAAAGGAACTTATGGAAAAGTTTTCAAGGTGTTAAATAAGAAAAATGGCAGCAAAGCAGCAGTCAAAATTTTGGATCCTGTTCATGTAAGTTACTTAAATTACTTGGTTAATTGGGAGGTTATGTAGTCTTTTTTTTTTTTTTCTCTTAATCTTTGTAGATAATTTGTATTAGAAGTGACTGTGAAATAAACTCTTTCAGCCTGCTATGTATCAACCTAGCTATCAATGCATTTTTATTAACATAAGTGATCTTGGAAGTGGTGGCTAATTGTGAAAATATACCTAAATTGTGTTGCTTTTACATTGTTACCTCTTCTCTCTTGTTTTCAGAAGCAGAGCTGATTATTTTCCTTTTCAGTATTAGGAGTCCTAGCTTATTCTATTTCTACTGTTGTTCCCTTTCCTTTTTTTAAGTTTTTGACATACTGGCCAGTAAGGAAGTTATGTACTTCTAAGTACTTAAGCTGTACCTTCAAGCATCTGAGTACATGCTGGTACCTGAGTTACATGCTATGAGTGATACTTCAAAAATAAATTAGCATATTTTATTGTTATTGTTCATTCTGTGTTTTTGGAATGTGCCAAAATATGTAGGTCTCACAGAGAAATCCATCTTTTCAAATGGTAAATGCAAAGGGATTAGCTCTACACACAAAGCACCAGACAACTGGGAGGTGGAATTATGAAATTGTAGAGCATGGTTTTGTTCTCAATAAATGACATTTGTTGGGTGGCAGATTAATGCTCAGAGAGTAAGGAAGAACACTAGTCTTGGTTTGTACAGACACACCCCACTGACTTTGGTGGTGCTGCGCGTGGCTCGAGACTTTTCTTGAGAACAAAACATGGCAAAGCAGTTGTTCCTATTTTGGCAGCCCTTTTAAGTTCTTCTTCTGCACTCCCAGTATGGTTTTATGGGGTGCGTGCTTCCATGGCATGACCTCTAGGCAGGAATGAGTGAGCATGCCATGCTGGTGTGGACCCTATAGGTCTGGAGCTGCACAGCCACACAGGGCTCTTCTTCCTCTGCATATCACACAGTGTCGGATTATGATCCCAAAGACTGAAATTCTATGAAATACATTGGTGAATACATAGTATCTTCCATTATCTATGCTGCGTTTCTTGCTGATCTGCTTTTTATTTGTGTGCCTTCAAAACAACAAAAGGGTGCTCATCTCAATTCAATACCACAACCTCTTCCAAAGGAAACATAACTTGCCAAGTGATAAACATCTTGATGAGTTCAAATGTATTGGAAACTATTTTTGACTCTATTGCTTTCTGTAAACAAGGTTCTTGTGCTTACAATAAATAGGTATGACTTCCTTGCCATTGGTGTTCATCTAAATGCCTGTTTGGCAGGAAATGCTTTTGCTTTCCTATTCTTCAGAAGTGTTCTGGAGTGATTCTTAAGTGGCAACTGGCTGTGGCAGGAATTCCTGAAGAAATCAGTGAAACTTTCAATGTTCTCAACACTTTGGAGGGTGCAGAAAAAGATTAAAGGATAATGATAGGAAAAAAAAAACAAATAGTAAAGCTGATGCTAGAGGAAAATGAAATAGATTAAGTAGGAAAAAAGGAATAGAATGTAAAGGAGATGGAAGAAATAGGATTTATAAAGATTCAGTATAAGAAATTGAAGATGGGAAAATGTGTAACTGATGAAAACTGTTTCCTTATTTTAATGAAAAAATGGCAGTAGTGCAGTCAACATCAGTCTTCCAAGACTTGGCTCTTAACTAAATGTTTTACCCTTTTTTTACTAAGAGCACTATTCTTCTTTGCCCTCTTCTATTTACAGTGTCTGAAGTAGCTGCTGTACCTCCATGTTACTGCTAAAATGACAATCCTGTATTGGAAATAAAGTGAAAGCAATAAATGAGTTCTTTTTAAACTGAAAGTATTATTAATGGCTGCAGAGGGAGCCATTGCAATGAAGGAAAAGATACTTTAACTATTCTTCTTTATGTTTTACAATTCTTTTTCTTTGGAGATAGTTTCAAAATTGTGCCTCTTGAGAGGTAGATGGGAAACAAAGCAGAAGAAATATGGTTTGGTTTAACTGATATTTTGAAATTACACTGGGAACCTATATTATCATGGGTGATACAAGACTGAAATAAGCATTTAATATTTAATCCTTTAGAGCACAGACTCTTTTTGCTGGGTAACAGCTCAGCTTTTTGAACCTGAAACAGGAAAGCAAAGATGTTGAGATTACATTTTATGAAGATGTTATGAGAAGGCTTAGTCTTGTCCTTAGAACTATAAGTAAACACCATTGTACTTTAGAACTCTTAGTCAAATTATCCTATATATAGGATGAAAATTTTCAGTCTGCCATTTCTAATACAGTTCTTTTATGAAGGCAAATATGCTAAACTCAACCAAATATTTCATGGAATGAATATTCTATCATTTAATTTCTCCTTATAATTATAAAAATTTTATAAAATCTGAGTACCCCTCAGGAGACAGAAAACTCTATTAATTCACAGTAGGACAGTGGGCTAATTCTCTTCCAATTTCCCCAAGGCAGTCAAAACTATTGTATGCTTTTTTAAAATTTTTTTTTTTGTTTTTGACTGTATTTTTTTTTCTTTTGTTTTTGCCAGATGTATTGTCTGTCTTCATCCCTGCTTCTTTCTCTTTCCTTTCTCTGCTACCTTCAGTACTTTGGTTCTTTCTTCCTTCGTTGTATTTTTTTTCCTGTCTTCTGTGTTGTGCTAGAGAAAATTATCTTAAAGTGAGTTTCTCCTTTTTTAGAAAGAGGAAAATTCCTGCTGTTTTTCAGTTGTTCCAATAGCGAGATCTCTAAAATCCTTCCTTGTGAGAAGACTTATCCTGGTAATCTTAATATGAAAGTTTAATGGCCTGATTCATGATGATACTGGTAACAGAGGAAGCTCTTGGAGAACAGTCAAGCTAGTCTCAAGAGAAAAGGCTCCTGCGAGGAACTTGAATAGGATATTGGAGAGACCTGTTCAAGAAACAAGTGAGCAAAGTGCTCTTGGAGCAGGTGTGTGGAACAGAATGAGAAGGAGCATCATTCATTTGGAATACAGAACTTTCCCTTTCTCTGCCATGGTCACTTCTATTTGGCTTTGCTGAGACAGGTTTTTGGCACTGAGTAGATGCTTTCCACGGATATGAAATCCATTGATATGGATAGTGAAGTTCGTAAGGGAGCCTTCTTCTAGATTTTTCACTCCTTTTTGTGTAGTTGTAAATAGCAAATTGTATTAAAAATGTTTTAAGTCTCAAACAAGTACACTAACATTTTTTTTGAGATCAAAACAATAAGGGGAAAATGCTTGCAGATATTTGCCTTTATCGGGCAGGGATGGAATATTTTGTCAGCATGACTCAAATGCAGTGTAATCATCATCTCTCAATGAGCAATTCCAGTGAACGGGTGGGAAAGGTTTACCTGAGTCATCCAATGCCTGCTAAAGCCTGCTGATGTCTGTGTCCATTTTTGGTCTGAAGGGATTTGCACAGCTCCCAGTGCATCTGTTGGCAAAATTGGTCCTCATATCTCACCTCCAAAAGGATTTCCCTCACTAAGAAATCCAAGGTTTGTAATGAGAGTGTGACAAAAAGCCATTATTATTATAGTTCAGTAGCATAGCACAGAGACCATGGATGTCACCAGATTTTATGACAGTAGAAAATGAGAAGAATTCCCACATAATTCTAGAAAGTGGGATGGCAAAGGAATAAGATGTGGCTGCAGCCATACTTGTTCATGCACAGAGACATAGAGAGGTTGTTCCAGCTGCACCATTTCTAGTTGGGGTTGCCATTAAGACTAAAGCAGTAACTTCCCAAGGCATCTGCATACCTGCCTACTTGTGGATTGCACTGGCTTTGCCTTGACATCACAGAACAGTTAAGGTTGGAAGGGACCAGTGATGGGGTCATATGATCTAACTTCTCTGCTCAAGCAGGGTCTTTCTAGAGCACATGGCACAGGATTATATCCGAGAGTTCTTGAATCTCTCCAGAGAAGGACACTCCACAACCTCTCTGGGCAACCTGTCACAGTGTTCTGTCACCCATACAATAAAGAATTTCTTCCCCATATTCAGGTGGAACTTCCTGTGCATCAGTTTCTGTCCATTGCCTCTCATCCTGTTGCTTGGCACCACTGAGAAGTGCCTGAATCCATTTTCTTGACACCCTCCCTTCAGACACTTATAGATATTGTTGAGGTCCCCTCTCAGTCATCTCTTCTCAAGGCTGAACAGGCCCAGCTCCCCCAGCTTTTCCTCATAAGAGAGATGCTCCACCACCTTCATCATCTTTGTAGCTCTCCTCTGGACCCACTCCATTAGCTCCATGTCTTTCTTGTCAGGAGCCCAGAACTGGACACAACACTCTTGATGTGGCCTCACCAGGGCTGAGTAGAGGGGCAGGATCACCTCCCTCAACCTATTGGCAATGCTTTTCCTAATACAGCTGAGGACCCCATCAGCCTTTTTGGACCCCAGGATGCACTGCTGGCTCATGGACAACTTGCTGTCCTCCAGGACCCTTGCTCCTTCCAGAGGGTTGTTCTGTCATACCCCATATGTTCATTAGTTGAAACTGATAAAGACAAAATTAAAAAAAAATCTGTTTTGCATTCACTAAACAGAACCAGGCTTTGTAGTTCTCTAAATGGTATATTAATGTTCTGTTTGGTTTTTTCTTTGTATCATATCAAACTACATTTGAATTGACAAAAATACTTTGTGGTTTTTGTTTTTGGTTTTTTTTAATGGCTATCATTATTTATTTGTTAACTGCTATGTATTTCTTGTTTGTGACACTAGGATATTGATGAAGAAATTGAAGCCGAGTACAACATTTTGAAAGCTCTCTCTGATCATCCCAATGTAGTCAAATTCTATGGAATGTACTATAAGAAAGATGTCAAAAATGGAGACCAGCTTTGGCTAGTTCTTGAGGTAAATAATATGGAAAAATAGGAGGCTTATTCCTGTTGATATCCATTGTTGAGTATGAACAAAATGAATGTGATGCAAGTCATTTGCGTAATGCTTTTTTTAAGAGTAGGTGCATGCAAAGTGATAAATGCTGTTGTTTAGTCTTTTTACTGGTCTGTTTAATTCAGTTTTCAGTGTTCTTATCTTGAAATTACACTGATAGTCCTGTGCCTTCAGAATTAGGATATAAACTCATAGGATTTGCTACCTAAAATCTTTCTTTGGTGAAAGGCTTGCCATGGGAATCTTCTTGTAGCAGCTTTTCTTTAAATATTACTAACATTTGACATAGCAGTTAAAGAATACAGTATGGTGGGTTTTTTCCAAATGAAATTATAGAAATTATTCAACTGAATTCCTTTTTTTTTCTATGGGAGGTAAATGCACAAATAGATAAATAAGCCAATAAAAGCAGCTACTGCCCAAATGCAGTTGACAGCAGCAGGATTTCCTCAAATTAAATTGAGAGCAAGATGTGTTTGTCTTTAGTTTTGAGTAATTTGATCATAACAGTTTCTATACATTCACAGCCTATTGTGTAAAAATTTCATCTTGTATCCAGAGGAAAACAAAGAATATCTCTGACAGGAATATTGTGCTTTTCCTAGGAATCAAGACTTTTGATGTCATTTGATCAGGGTTTGATAAGGTTGAGATTGAAGAAATGGTTGTATTTTAAGATTTGTCAGCTAAGTAAATACAAATCTCCTACCAAATATCTCAATGATACAATGGTATCAAATTCTAGAAACAAGCTGTCAGTAATGCATTAGCTCTAAAAAAAATCTATTCCAAATTCTTGTATGTTCCATTGGAAGATGTTTTTAAGAATGATTTGCATAACAAATTATTAGGTTAGACTGACACCAAAAGGTATCAGGTCTTTGTGAATGAGCATCTTGGAAAATCGGGCACTCGTTGTGTCTCCTGGGCATTGGAAACTCCCATCTGTGAAACTTCTGGCCTGTAAAGGATGGATACCAAACAGCCAGACTGAAACAGACTGGGGGGAAACAGTCAAGTGTTTATATTTTAACTTTTATATTTCACATTGGATGATGTTTTTTATGTGAAAAACATGAGCCTGGCCTACATGTGGAGTATGTTTTATATTTACTATTTTTAAGCCAAGCTATATATGTGCAAGTATGGAATGTGTGGAGCAGTCTTGGATGCTTTCTGCCACAAACATGTAGATCTCTGAATGCAATGGATTTCAGCTGGTATGTGTAGATATGCATAAGCAGGAAAATAAATTTCAGTATTGACTTTGGTGAAGCTTTCCTATTAATAATAGTGTACATGAAAGAAAACTGTCATGAAACAGATTTCTCTGTTCAAGTGGCATCTTCTTATCAGCTTGTGTGCAGCTTTACAGTTGCAGTTTGCTTCTCACAGCAGCTATTAAGGTGTCCTGCAGTTTATAAGAATGAGTATCTTTTCATTATCTCAATTTTGTGTTCTTTGATGGGATACATAGGCATCACAATTTGGAGAGAAAGTTTTTCAAATTTCACTAGGAATGGGTTGTAATAGATGGTAAAACTCAGCATTTAGTAATACATTTAGAATCACCACTGCAGGTTACCAAACAGGTTATTCACTGGAGCATTTGAATCCATATATTAAGATGTTTGGGTTTAGTTTTTTTTTTTTCCTAGGGGAAAAAAATCTTCGGCTTTTTAAGATCTGTCCCATGTAATGTATTTTTATGAAAACTACCAATGGGAATGAAAGTGAAACAAGAAAACATCTGTACAGAATGACAGTACTCTTGACTCTCAGTTCAGAAATGCCTTTCTCTCTGTAGGCTGCACTCAGATAAGCTGAACATCTGTTCCTCTTGGATGTTGTAATTGCAATACAGAATGTTGCATGAAGGAGGATTCCTGCCAGGTCCATTAGGCTTTGCCGTATGTGTCCAGAGACGCAGGCAGGAGGAACTGTCCTACTGAGTCTGTGTTGGGAAGAAATCCCATATTTGGGACAAATCAGCTTAGCAGTTTGGTGTCAGCAGACAGCAGCATGATGACACAGCTGGGGCAGAGTGTGCTGTAGCCCATTTCTTTCTGCTCTTGATGTTAGTTCAGAAGGGAAAATATCTGAGATAGTTTGAAATCATCTGATGTAAGATGGAGCAGAGAGGAATTGTGTCAGGCCCCTACAGGTGGGTGTGTAGGTCTGGGGACAGGTGGGGAGAACAGATGGCACAGGCCTTGCCTGGTGCAAAGAACAACCTAAGCAAGAAAGAGTGAAGGCTGAAAAGCCATAGCAAGGTAAGTGGTAGGTATTACACAGCTTTTACTCGCTGCTGTAAACCAGAATTGTAAGGCAACATATTTATACAGTTCAATTCCTACAGAGATCAGGTAGAATTTTTAAGAAGTCCATTTTCAAAAGGTACAAAGTTATGCATACCCTATTTGAGATTAATTTGGTTGAATTTGGGTCACACAAGTACACTTGTGTATTTTATAGTCATCAATATATTTTTAATAGGAAATAGAGGAAGCATGCATTATTTTTACAGTAAAAAAAAACCACAAAAAACACAGCTTATTTAGTGGGTTAAAACTTATCTTGATAGGAGAAAAATTTTGGAAGGAATGACTTTCCACCCAAAAATACAACTTTTTAATATCAAAGTGTGTTGTAGAAACCTCTCACTTCTGGAGAGGGTAGAGGGAGTAAGTAACAAGAAGTGTTACAGAAATACATCCCTTTCACTCTGCTGAATGTCAAGAAGACTGACAAAATATTCTTTTTACGTGTTTGTTTGGGTTTTTTTCCCCGAAGTGTGTACATGAGCATTTTAAGAACATATGCAGTGTCCTGTGGAGTTAGGCCAATGGTCCTTGTAGCTCAACTTTCTGTGTACTGTGGTGGTACTAGAAGATGCTATTTAGGAAGACTTTGTTGTCCAGTTATTACAGTCCATTTCCCTCATGCTTTCCAGCAACCATAATTGCTGTTTTGCACATTATTACAGACTATATCCCAGATTATTCAATTTAGTATCCATAAATAGACACACTAAGCCTGATGATGATACAGGCATGCTCTATAATCTCCTTATGAGCATACAAGTTGAATTTTTGCATCACTATTATATGCTGATTTCTATTTGTATAATATTCCACATAGTAGAATATAATGTTTTCAACATGGCAAAAATGTTTCTAAATCTAATTATATTTCAGTGTGAAGAAATTTAGATTCCTGCTCATATGAAAAGGGGGAATATGTTACAGTTTCCAGTGGATTGCAGGCTCTATTTTCTAGCCAGCCCTGTTGTTAAAAAGTACCTTCAGAGTAGTTGATGCAATTTGTACAGGTGCACAATCCAGACTGAATGAGCCTGATTTATCTTTGTTCTCATGTGGAACCTTTTGTTGATCTAGTGTATTCTTCACCAGAGAAATCATGTGGGAGTGTAGAGTAGCTTCTGCTTTGAATCTGCTTTTCAGAAGAGGTGTCATTTTAGCCTTTTCCTTTCCCTCAACCTTTTAACATGGGAGAAACCATTGAATAAATTGATAATTTGTGTAATTCTGGATTTTTTGCAAAGTGGTATACTTTGAGTTTCATCATCTAAATGTTTTTCATAATGTTAATTGAACCTGCTAACCAGATGCTGATAACTCAAAAGAATTACAGAAATATTGTCACGATGGGTTATTGTGATTCAGTTGGCATCTATGTTTGCTGATTTAAAATCTGCCTGAAGTGATTCAGATTTTTTACTTACCTTTGATCATTTAAAGTTAACATTAAGAAGAAAAAAAGTAGAATGTACCAATGTCTAAATTCTCTTTTTATATCCTTGGGATGCTTTTATTTGTGTTGGGTTCTCTTCAGAAAAAAGAAAAAAAATCTTAAACCTGGTAAGTAGAAGCTCTCAAGAGTTTGATTTAAACTAGTATAAGTGAATTAAAATACAGAAAACTAGTGCATCAGTTCACTTCCACTCTTTCTACAAACATACACAAAATGAAAACCCATGGTTAATCAGAGTACAGACATTGTAACAATTGTAAATGTAGCACCATATGGAAAAAAGGAATAAAATGCCAGTATATCAAACTGCCAGCCTGCTATACCAGGGTTATGTCAGTCCATTACTACTAGTTTACTTCCAGTAAAGCTTGCCAAAATGCCTGTAATCACAAGGGCAGTTGCCTTTGGTGAGGTGTTTAAATTAAATGAGAATGTAACAAGCTGAGATCACTGATAGAACTCCATTCTGTTTTATGTAGATCCTTTAGAAGAACTACCATTCTTGAGTTTGCCTAGAGACAGAGAACCCATGACAATGTATCAGTTATTCACTCCTTTTTTGTCAGAAAAGTGACTCTTCATAGGAGAGAGCTTTCTTCGGAGGTTTAAGCAATAGAACAAGTAGCTTTGGAAAAGGAGAACTGCATGGATAACAGAAGTCAGTTATGATCCCAATCAGCGGTAAGCATGTGTCAGCACTGTAGTACAGTAAAGTTATTAAGGAGGGTTTGAAGGAGGATGGTGTTATGGTTTTCTGGTTTAGCTGCTCCTTCAAAGCAGAATGGAAAAAATGTTATGCCTACAGATACCCAGTGATGGATACCACTGTGACCTGATCAAAGATAAAAGTAGATCTCTTTTTGCATAAGAAATGGCATTAGCACTGCTGTAGGCTTTGACAGGTAAAACAGCTCATGTTTGATGTAATTGAGAAAGGGCAGCCAGTGTGAGGGTTCAAAGGAATAACAGCATAGTTGGAGATGGCTGGTTAGGGATCAGCACTCACTAAAGCCAAGAGAAGGTGTTGCAAGAACTGCTACATAAAATTAAGAATGCTGTACAATACATGTACACTGCTGCATCTAGTTTGAGGTGAGTCTGCTGTGCTGTTGCACTGTTATATCTGCTCTTTGGAGAGAGAAATTTAGCAGATCAGATGCTTCCAGATGTTAACTGTGGTCACA